CCCTCCCCCCGCACCTCCCCAAACCCCACCCCCTAGCCCCAAATATAACCCACTCTACAACCCTCATTGCATACTCCTACGATAAAAATTGTAGAGTGAAATCTTTCTTATAGCCCTCTTATTCAGCACTGCATTAGTAACAAAGGCTTCGGGAAGAAAATTACATATCTCAAGGAAATGACACATCTAAACATTCACAAAAATTAACTGAAAACATTAAACAATATCAATGTTAGGTTCCAGGGTTCATTTTAAGCATCTCTAGCAACAGTTTTCAACTGGAAATACTACAGCTTACTGAAGCCTTCCTGTAACAAAAATCCTATATTATCATACCATCAAGGGATTCTGATTAACAGCTACAACAAAACAGACCCAACTGTGGCCTTGCAGAATAAAAAGTCCCTGTCACTTCTGTTTTGTAGTATCTCAGACAACTCTGTCAGAAAATCAGTGAAGAACTTCACACTAAATACTAGCTACTAATGACCTAAACTATGGATCACATTCTGCAGGCCAGGACCGAAATGATGGGGGTGGGAGGAGGGTGGTACTATCCACCACATGTGTTTTTCCATCTATTACCTAAATCAAAAGTCAGTGGCCATTCCCTCTTATTTAATGGGTTCTAATATCTAAGAAGTGACAAATTACCTGTCATACTAAACTCACAATCTGACTTAAAGAAAGGAAAACAACAGCTGAGCCACACACAATGTTTTCTTCAACACAATTTAAGGGTAAGGTTCTCAAATTCCTGGAGGGGGAATTGGCCAGGAAGCAGATACTTCCTTGCACCCAAGTATGATTATCCTCAATGGTGCTGCTAGAGGATTCTGTCAAAACTTTCCCCACATGCAGGACCTCAATGAAATATAAATGTTCCTCCTTCACAGTTCAACAATTTTTTTTTAAAAGGGAAAGCATCCTCAAATACAAGGTCATAACAAAGCCCGATAATTTCACTGTGTAAGTAACTGTTACTGAATAAGGGATATTTGACTGAGTCCCAGGAAGAAACATCAGCAAGCAGTAGGAGAATCTTGATCTAAATTCAAGAACTAGTGATTAAATGTGCACCCATAAAATATCTAGAATACTGCAGGCTTCTCCTTGGAGGCAAAGATTCTGGGGCTTCATCTGACATACTTTGGACATGTTGTGAGGAGAGACAGGTCTTTGGAGAGGGACATCATGCTGGGCAGAGTGGAGGCACAGCGCAGGAGGGGAAGACCCTCTATGAGGTGGATTGATTCAGTGACTGGGGTACTCGGGATGGGTGTGTCAGGGGCAATGCGATTGGCACAGGACAGAGCAGGGTTTAGGGTTGTTGTACATAGGGTCGCTATGAGTCGCAAACGACTCGACGGCACCTAACAACAACAACAGCAGGCTTCTAAAACAAAGAATTATGAAGACCACATGGACATTTGAAAACTTCTAAGGATGTTCACCAGTTGTTCTCCATCTTCTTTGGAAAGATTAAGTTATGGGGAACAACCTAAGTATCTTTAAGGAATTTCTATTTATAAATAAGAAGTTCTTTCTGACAAGAATTAAATACTCAGCTCATTCTCCATAGAGTTTATGGAATTTTTTTTTCTCTACAAATTCCTCCTAAGATTAAGGTTTGGTGACACTATTTTAAATGAGGACACTAGGAGAACCAAGCACAAAAAAAATTCCCTCTGACCTTGAGGATTTTCAATTACAACTATACTATGAATACTTACACAGCATATTCAGGTAGTGGCAGTTTGCTCACATCAAATACTTCTTTATCCTTCATCAGATATACTGAACGTATGTAGGAGACAAAACACTACAAAACAAAGAGTTCTGAATGTACGATATTTAACAGTAAAAATGTAAACCAACATTTTTCAAAGAGTTAACAAAACAGCTTAATTCCACAGTACGAAATAAAATCACAAAATAAGAAAGGTTAATTTTTAGGACTTTAAAAGACAGGCTAAAATTGATACATAAGTCTACTTGATATGTACTATCATCTTCCCTAAAAGTTATTCCAGAAGACAGTCTCATTTAGTTGTTTTATGGGCAATGGAAAAATAATATGGAATAATACAACTATGGATCTACTCTAGTCTCTGCATCTTAACAGCTGAGCAAGATTCTTGTGTCTCTAAATTTAATTTCTTCATCGATAAACCAGTGATACAAATAAATCATCATTTACATTCAGTACTAAATGTGAAAATGTGTGTAGGCTATCTATCTTAGCAGACCTTCTGGAACACAGTACCAATGAATGCTAGTTATTGCTGATAGTAACTATTACTAAAAGAGTACTTATGTCTTTGAACAAAGTTTTTACTATATTAGTAAAATGGCATTTAATTAAAAATCATGACAGGAAAAAATTCATTTTTAAAGTTTTTCCTTTTTTTATTACAACTTGGCAAATTTGTCGTCAACTTGCAATATGTTTTCCCCCATCTGTGTTTGAATTAATAATGTGTGTGTGTGTGTGTGTGTGTATTTTATATATATATATATATATATATATATCATATAAACATATCTATGTATGTCTACACACATATACACAATACACATCAGTAAATCAGAACTATACAAATAGAAATGTAAAAGATGTCTTGACCCTTTGTCATTTTGTATCTAAACACTAAACAGGTGATAATGCTCAGGACATGTCTACATTATTATCTCTTTACTTTTCATTTCTGTATAAAGGATAAGTAATTCTCATTTCCATATTTACTGAAGGCCACGTTCTCTCTTGATTTATACTAATCCCTTACACTCCACTAATCTTGACTATACTTTTCTTTATTTCCAAAAGCTTGAAAAGTGATGTGCAACACCACTTGAAGGATAAATTTCTTCCCCTACACTGGTCCACAAGAAATCATCCAAGTTGCTTATTGTTTTTGTTCTCTCCAGACTATAATCAAAATCCAGAAAATCATTTCTATGGAACTAGATAGCTTACTGCTGCTGGCAATACAGTTAGCCATCCTGCTAAACCATGCGTGACACCCAATAAATCACATCATTTATTTCAATATGCTATTCTATAATCTTTGATCTGGAAAGCTCATTTGCTGTCTGCACAAACCAGTGAAACAACATCTTCCCAGTGTTTCCTATTTCCTGATTCATGATTGAATGACCTCCTTGGCAGGGGATAAATCACAACATATTAGAATTCATGGGGTTTTGGGGTGTTTGTTGTGGTTGTTTTTTCAAATTTTCATATATTGCCAAACTTCTAAAATAAAATCTCTTTCTTCCCTTGAAGCATGTTTGCTAGACAAAATAAGCCCATATTGTGTGCGCACACACACATACACACACGTGCCAAAAAAGTACATACAGAAAAATGTTTACTTAAAGGCCCTTTCTTTGGTTTTTAGCTAGAGCATATGTAAAGTCCAATTTTGGACTTACAAATGTGTTCACCATTTGGCCACAGTGATTTTGTGGACTTTTAAACTTCATTTCTCTTGGCATAACGTGGTAATTCTCAGAAAGCCTCAGATGTAGATCTCTGATTCTCAAGTATGAACCTTGACAACGTGAATCCAGACAGGTTTTTTTGATTAGTACCACAACACCCTGGAGACTAAGCCACCAGGGCACCTTTGACAAGTTTTTAAACAATGACATGCTACCACTTATTCCTCTGTAAACTGACACACTACCACTGTCTTAGATTTACTGTTGTGATGATGTACTATCAAGTCAGAACTGACTCACAGCTGACCGTTCAGTGGTTTACAGATTTATTAGAAGGATAAAATATCACAATGCATGCAAATCACTCATGTAATACTATCATGACTAGACGGCCTGGCACAGAGTAACTAACTCAGATCCTACCTTCATCATTAATGCTGTTCTTTCAAGGCAAAAACGATAAAAAAACTTATTTAAAAAAAAATCAGTTCATAAAAATACATAATTTGTTCCTAAAGTAAAATTTACTTCTTTGCTAAGAATCCTCTGTTTCAAAACTGTAATGTAAAACTTCACTGCTGTTTTTCTGCTCAGCCAGCTCCAGCTACATAGGATGTCCTTCCCCGATCCCATCTCTGTGTCCTTCCTTCCACTTCATCTACCTGCTGAGTAGCATCAAACCTGAGAACCCAACTCTGGAGCTCACTGCTGATGGGTTACAGGACAGACAAAGATCTCACAACATTAAAAGGCAGTTTTCTTCTCCTCAATAAAAAGCAATAAAAATGAGGGGCTTCAAAAGAGAGTCACAAATCTATACAGCTTCAAAGCACAATGCAAAACAATTATAAATAACTCTTTTCTAAAGACTTAACTGCCTTAAAGTCTAAGAACTAAAAGTGTAAACTGAACTTTTTAACACTTCTTTATGTATCTGTCAATCAAGGGAATTTACAAGCCCAGAAAAGGTAACTGAGACATCAGGTCATATTTATATATAGAAAACTATTCCTGAGCTGAACTTAAATTAAAAAGACTTTTATGCTTATAAAGTAATATTAATCTTATTTTCAAGAAAGTGAGAAAGAAAGCTTTATCGAAGTGGTGAGAAATTGACAACTTTACTGAAAATATAAGCCAGACCACTGAGCATCTAAAAATCATGTCTGATGAAATTGTGTCTCTAGCAAGATTACAGATAAGAATAGACATTTTTCTCACATTACCCCATGAAATAATACATTTTAGAAAAATTTCCAAGAACAAGCTTAATCTTCGTATCTGAAACACGACCACAAAAACTAGTAATAGCAGAAAAGATGAAATTTAACATTGTTTGATGCTCAACAATCCAATTCAAAAAGGACTTACCCTCTGTGCTCTTTCTTTTAAATCTCGATCTTGGGCTAGAAGTGATTCCAATTTTTTCTGGATATCTATAAGTTTTTCCGGATTGATTCTATGTTACGAAAAGAAAATCAAGGTTAAACTAATATCTCCATTTCAGAAAGTGGTAACAATACACAGCATTTCACCTTTTTCCTTGTTATTCTTTTTTACGTATGTAACATTATTTTTCATTTATGAACCAGATTAGACTAAAATTACACTGGCTGTCATTTTAATCTCTCGTATATAATGAATAATACAGATTAAAAGAAATGGATGGTCGGACCTTTTCTCTAAAGAAGCACCCAATGCTGAGTCATTAGCATTAGGCATTAGGCACTTCCATAAAGATGAAGAACAGCTTCCCGGAAGAGCTGAGTAGTCAACAAAATGGAATATATGAAAGTAACGTAATTTTGTAAATTCTGTCTTTTTAAGTCAAATCTCAAACCATCATCTTCAAATAAATATACAAATAGTGCTTCAGACCTACAAATATACCCATCTATTTAAAAAGCTATAAATACTCAAGGGACATAAACAGTGCTTCTCTATGGACTTTGCGACCACTAGCTATACATCTGAGAGCTGGCTAGGGACTGAAGATGACAGCAGAACTGATGCCTTTTAGCTGTGGTGTTGGAGAAGAGCACTGTACATCCCATGGACAGCCAAGAAAACAAACGGGTATGTCATAGAGATGGTGCAGTCAGTGTTCTTTAGAGGCAAAGATGATGAGGCTTTGCCTCACGTGCTTTGGGCATGTTGTTAGGAAAGGCTAGTCCTTGGAGAGGAACATGATGCTCTGAAAGGTAGATGGTCGGTCAAGGAGAGGAAGAACCTCAATCAGGTGGACTGATATGGTGATCGCCACAATGGGCTCAAATGTTTTAGAAAGTGTAAGAATAGAAGACGATAGGACAGGGTTCAGATCTGTTGTTTATAGGGTCACTATCTAGAAATTCAACGCAGGAGGGGAAGACCCTCTATGAGATGGATTGATTCGGTGACTGGGGTAATCGGAATGGGTGTGTCAGAGGCGGTGCGGTTGGCGCAGGATAGAGCAGGGTTTAGGGCTGCTGTGCATAGGGTCGCTATGAGTCACAAACGACTCGACGGCACATAACAACAACAACAACAATCTAGAAATTAGGCATAATGCATCAGAGATGTTAATAATTCTACACAAGTGGCTACAGAAACGAAAGAAACTCTTATATAGGTGTCTTTGTGTCTTTTTCCCTCTCTATCTCACTGTTATCATATCCAAACCAACTCATAGGCGACCCGTAAGAAGGCTTCTAAAATAAAAAAATTTTAAAAAATCACAAGGGAGGAGACTGTTCACCTGTCTCCCAATGAGCAGCTGCTGGCTTCGAACCTTCAGGTTAAGAGCACAACTCTCCACAGTCTAAGCCACCAGAGCCCCTTTAAAAGGAACTAGATTTAACAACAGTAATTCCACTTGTTTCTCTGATTTCAGACTGAAATTCTTTGTTCCTACAATGCTGAGGCAGTTGTGTGGGGGTGAATTGTACAGTTTTGTTTAAAAAAAGTCTCAAAATACACAAAAATACAAACCATGCATTCAGCTTGAACAATTAGGAATTCATGGCCAATTCTATTTCCTTTATCCCTCCCTAATATATTAAGTAAATTATGCCGAAGTATTTTAAGGGCTCTAAGACAAGTGAGATTCTGATTGACTTCTAATGTTTAATATGAGTCCTAATAGCGACTCATTGCTGTCAAGTAGGAACTGACACATAGCTAACGCTCCAGTGGCTTTTCCAAGGCTGTAAATTGCACAGTAGGAAATTGCTCATCTTTTTCCCTTGGAGCAGCTGGTGGATACTAACTTTCTACCCCAGAGTTGGCTGCACACCTCCTTATCGACCAGGCCACGAGAGTTTTCTACTCTAATAACAGGAGAAGAAAATCCTGAGAACTCAACAAACAGTTTTAAAAATAATTTCATCCAAGAGGTTTAATCCTTCCAACCATTAGTATTCTCTGAAACTACCTAGTTATTCTTTTTCATCCCTTATTCTATTAGCCATCTTCTAAAACGGTTATTTAAAATAATGGTCACAAAGTAGACAGCAAGCTAGCTAGAGGGGAGGGGAGGGGAGCGTTTGGTACGTTAGCAAGCAGAATAATGCCATGCCCTCGTTTTCCAGACAGTAACAGAGTTCTTACTTGATTTCTTTCACAGGCACCTTCTTCTGAAGCAGTTGCTGCACCATCCCTTTTTCTTCTGAGGGAAGCAAAATTAATAAAGCTTCCCCATCTTCTTTGTACCTACAAGAAACAAAATCTTTTCCAGATCAATGCAATCTGCATTTTAATTTGCACTGTTTGATGAGAACAAGTGAGTTAACCTATTTTACAAAATTTTAAGACTATCAACCCAAAGCTCCTGTCATTATATCAATTCTAAATCCTAGCAGCCCAAGAGAACAAAGGAGACCTGCCCCATAGCGTTTCTAAAAGCTACAAATCTTGGAAAGAAGCAGAATGCCATAGCATTCTTTCATGGAGTAGCTGTTGAGTTCGAACTGCCAACCTTTCAGTTAACAACTAAGCACTTAAAATTGTGCAACCAAGGGTCCTTTTTCTCATGTCATGCTGTACCTTCAGAAATATGTGTACCTGGATGGCCACATGCATGTTGTGGTTACTTATACATGTGCAGCTTGTATATAGATTTCCCTGAACCCTTACAAGTTGTAAAATAGAGACAGATATTCGGGAAAATTTTGAAAATAAAAAGAAACTTTATCAAAGCATTTTCCTTAATGTTCACATTTTTTGTGTGTGGGTGTATGTGTGTGTATCATGAAGTAAAAAGTTATTATAAATAACAAACTAGTTCATGCCAAACTTTCTGTCAGGGATGAACTGAAAAGGACCCACAGAAAGAGAAGATGAATGTTCCTATCCAGTAAGCCAACAATCTAAAACCAAAAGAGAAGTTGGACTGAAAACAATCACAGAGCAGTAAGGCTTGTCAAAAGACAAGCACAAATATGTGAGCAGACAATGTTTGTGGCTACAAATGTAATTAATGTCACCAAATGGTATGCATAAGGAGTCATGGTGAAATAGTGGTTAAATTCTCTTTTGCTAGCCAAAAAGAGTCAGTAGTTCAAAACCACCAGCTGCCTCAGTAGAGAAAGATCTGATTGACTGTCTATATAAGAGTAAAGCCTAAAAATCCCATGGGATTCTACTCTAACCTACAGAATCAATATGAGTTAAAACTGGCTTTACAATGGAGCAGGGGGAAGGGAGACTGTACATATAATAAAGGTTCAAATGATAAATGCATTGTTACACTGGGTCCTTTTCAGTTCATCCCTGACAGAAGGTTAATAAACACCATAAAATCAGAAGTGAAAAGAAACCACTTAGTGTTATGAGAAAACAAACATAAATTAAAAAAATACTACATAACTTGGGAGAAGGTTGGAGAGCATTATAAGTGAACTAATGCGATCTCATAAGGACAAATAGTACATAAGACCATTATTGTAAAAACAAAAGGAAACATGTATAGGAACTCAAGGGAGAGATGGGTGGGAGTGGAGGGGTGAGGATGGGTAGGGGTAAAATCTCAGGGTCGCACAGTTTGGTGAGTGGAGGGAAGAGAGTAAAGGAAGGGGAAGGATCTGGGTGAAAAGACAAGGTAATGTATGTTAGAATGAAAAATTTGTTTTCCTAATAAACTCCACAACCGTGAGTAAAAAGAGAGAATAAAAAACCGTAATGCATGAGTATGATTACATTAAACAGTATGAATAAGGAATAGTGTGAAACACAACGTATATGAACTTTGTAAGTAAACCAATTTAAAAAAAAAATAATTAGGAATTGAGCATTAAAGGTAGGTGATTTGGAGGGGAGATTGGGCATTCCAGGGGAAAAGGAGAAAAGGAAGTCAGCATATCTGAGGGCCTGTTGTTTTGTGCATCATCAAGTCACAGCATACCCTCCAAATTTTCAAGGACAGTTAACTGCATGGGAGGAGACTGCCCGTCTATCTCCCACAGAGTAGCTGGTAGACTCAAACCGCATGACTTCAGGTTTGTAGGAAGGATCCTGGCACTAGGACACCAAAACTCCCTTCTGAGGGACTACTGGGTAATTTGTATTTCTTAATGTGTATTTCATTTTCTCAAATTTCTCTAAACACATGTGTATTACACGGGGTTGGGGTAGAACAGAATAAAGTGGAATACACATTTAGTCCTTTTACCAAACATCTGCTTCATGACTAAAGAACTAATACCAAACACCTTCCTGACTGTATTTTAAAACAGGATACTACAGCTCAAATTTTTTTCATATTAACCTACTATAAGAATTTCATTTTAAAATATTCACCCCAGGACAAACAGAAATTTTTAGTAGAAAGCCTATAAAATAATGAAGTAATACCACAAGGGAAGCCATCTGATAAACATACAACTCTGAAACCCAAAGATATCATCAACGTTAAGGAAAGAGATCTTAGGTACTGGTCAAAACTGCAACCCTACACAAACCAACAAAGACCACTTCAAATTGCACTTTCTAAAACACCTTCAAGGAAGCCAGTCTCTTGAAGTCAGGGAGTTTACCCTTCTAAAGTGAAAAGGCTTATTTTGTGTGGTCCAAAGAGGAACAACTAGGAGGGAGCGAGCAAGCAGTAGGCTAAAGCATAAACCAACCTTTTTAGCATTCTATTTCCAAATTCAGACAAGGCAATGAAATAAACAAATTCTAAATCTCTGCAGGGCACAAACTGTAGCAAAGGAGTAAAAGATTTAAAAAGGCAGCCACTGAATGAATTCTGATATTACAACTAACTCATGCATGACTAAGTCTAAACACCTACACATATCATACCTGCTCTTTCTTCTTTCAGAGAGAGAACATGGACAAATGAATCAGGATAAAAGTCACAAACAGGCCATACCCAAGCATTTTAGAAATATAGCTAGCTGAATATATGCATAATATATACACACATACATATATGAGCTACAAAAAGTTAAAGAGTATAACAATTAAAATAAAAGAGGGGAAAGCAAAGTGGCAGGCAGGTGGTGTAGAGAGGATATTCAAAAGCAAATCCCACGAGTATCTATTAAAAAGAGCATCACCGGCCATTTTATCTGTTTTTTATTATACACATCTTTTCCCAGAAACAATGTAAAGCACAAATTATCTCCCACATACCAACGCCCAAAATTTTCCAGTAAGCTTTTATTTCCAGAATAAAAGCACTTTTAAAAGAACTACATAAGCACATTTCACATTTTTTAATGCTTACAAGAATAAAGTCTATTTATCCATGAGCTAGCTAGTTAAATTTCAAAAGCTATATTCAAGACCTAAGGCTAAATATAAGGAGAAATAACTGTCCTTCATAAAACCTGTATTTTAAAACTCCATTTACTTAGAAAAACTATTTTGAAAGACAATGCAAACATCATATAAAAAGTCCTGCATTTGTAACAATAAAATTTCATTCTATCATCAGCATTTTTAGCACTTTTCACTATACAACTATTTACAATTTCTGAAGAAATTAATTAATTTTCTGATCTTAAAAGCATGGAACTAATAGAAGAAAATAATTTTTTTTAATTAATAAAGCATCGGAGAGGTTGAATAACTGGCCTAAAATCAGCTCGCTACTACTGTTTTGTATCACTAAAGTTCAACTTCTAACTCATTGCTTTTCAACTGTATCAGGACTTCCTCCAGAAACAAGGATCCCAAAAGATTGATCACGAATGACTAAAACAAAGAAGCTTTGTTCACATCCTATACCTAACTATTATTACCAGTGAACATAGAAAATTCAAAACACTGACCTGGATTCGCACGGTAATATTTTCACTGAAGTAACCTTGAAACAAACTAGGGCCAGAGAGAAGAAAACGTCCCACCACTCTTGCAATAATATATTTTTCTCCCTATGAAGCATTAACCCTTACTTACTTAGATTTACATTCTCTGACATACAAACTCCATTGCAGGTGAATTCCATAACTGTCCCTTAAACCCACTCCTTAAGAACTTAATGATAATGTGATAATGGTAACACTATCTGCCCATGAAGCCACCCTCAACTCTCCCAACTGCATTATTCAGGTTACAAACCAAGATACAGAAGACTGTACTTAAAATTAAAGTGCATTTTTCAAAATAAATATGTACATGCATTTTCAGTTAAAACAATATAAACATATACAACACAATTCTGGATAGTGAGTTGGTTTTGCTTTCTAGTATTTTCTAAAATCTGTGTACAGAATGGCCATTGTTTTTGTAACAAAACACAGTAATCTAAAACATAAGAAGGCTAATAACAGCTGACTTCAAGGCTCACTAGAAAGCTACAATGATTAAGACAGTGTTAGGAAAGGAATAAAACAGATCAGAAGAAAAAACACAGAAATTTATTTAGATTCACACAAATAAAAGCCAAATGATCCTTAACAAAGGAGCAAAGACAATTCAATGGAGATACAGTGAGCTTTTGAACAAATAGTTCTAGAACATATGGACAGCCACAGCAAAACAAAACAGAACTAAAGAATCTAGACACAAAGCTGAATCAAAATGGATCATGTAAGATGGAAAATGATGTAAACTCGAGAAGGTAAAACAGGTGAACGAACATCTAGGTGATCCTGATTTTGGCAATGGCTTCTTAGAAACACCACCAAAAAAGAGAAAATCAGTAAACTGGATGTCATTATAACTTTAAACTCTTGTGGTAAGTCACAATTAAAATAGAAAAATTTATTAAGGAAAAAAAAGCCTCTGATGATGTGATTCTATTTTAAGAATGGAAAGAAAAAAACAGAATGCAGAAAATATCTGCAAAACAAATTATATGAAAAAGGACTTTTAATCAAAATAGACAAATCTTGAGGGATTCAACAAAAAAACAGACTCCTTAAAAAGTAGGTACAAGATCTACATCACCAAAGAAAATATATGTATGGCAAATAAATACATGGAAAAAGACTTCACCTTCATGTAATTGTTGTTTTTGTGTACTGTCAAGTCAGAGCCGACTCATAATTAACCCTCCGGTGAGTTTTTCCAGAGTAGTTAATCACATGGGAGGAAACTGCCCAGTTTTATCCTGTAGAGCAGCTGGCACATTTAAATCAGCTGCCTTTGAAATGGCAGCACAGCTCCTTACCACCAAGCCACCAGAGCTCCCTTGTGGTGGTGGTGGTGGTTGTTATGTGCCATAAAGTCTCCTGTGATTCACAGCGACCCTATGTACAACAGCC